CAAATGCAGTCGTTGCTGGGACAAAATCCTCGCACGAGAGGTAGAGGCAGCTCCCCCTCTCCTTCTTGGTACTCGGCCAAAAACAACCGTGTCGCTCGTTCAAGCCGTGGCCCTCTGAGGTGCGTGAAGCCAGCTAAGCCCTCCGACCTATGGCATGCGGAGCATAGCTTGTCACTGACGGCGTGCACTACGCCTGAGGGGCACATGCTGCATTCGAGACCCGGGTTGTTTGTGAACCAACCGCACTCCGCACGCCTACAAGGTTTCTTGCGTGTTTTTTTCTCGGCTCCGATCTGAGTATTCCTAACTCCAGGATCAGACTGTCTTCGCGCTGCACTCCGCTTGACGGAGCGAGAGCCAGCTGTTCCAAGGTTTCCACCGCAACTTCGACGCCGGAATTCAACTGTCCGCTTGCCTCCAGACTCCAACTTCTCACGTTCAGCTTCGGCAATCTCTCGCTCTCTGCGGACCTTCGCATGTTGCCTCGCCTCCTTTTGCTGCTCACTGTACTCCTCGTCTGCCATCCTCCCCTCAAAGACGGCTTGCCGCCTCTGCCCCAGCGTCCGTCTCTTTCTGCGTTTCCTACCGGATCCTGTACGGCTTCCCGGATCTCGGCCACGCGCGCCGGATCCCGCCACTCGCTTAGTTGCGACGCCAGGCGTACTTGCGGGTGTAGCCTCTGGGGAAGCGGTGCCCAGGCCGCCTCCCCGTTGACAAGTAGCCGTAGACCCCCCCCCGCTGCTACCATTAACAGGATTCGACGGAGTTCGTGGGGGGCGACTACGTGGGTGGCGCGTCCTCCTTAGTGTCGCTTTTCCTTCAGCGGGACTGCATGTCCGTCCACGTCTTGGTTCAGGGCGAGGAGATGCAGGGGGTGTCACGGTCTGCTCTCTATGGCTCTTGTCGCCGCTCCTCCCCCCCCGCTGCCCGCTACTCCTACTACGTCTCATCGCGCGTCGGCTCGATCCTCCTTCTACGGACAGGTCCTAGGCCAAGAATACCCTGAAATCGTAACGCGCAAAAAAAGGAAGTAGTTAACTCGGCGTTGTCCGTAGTGTATAGATAATAGATACCACGACACTCAGACAGTCATTCATGGCATCCCATCCCAAAGTCAGGTGCGTGTGTCTCCATATTCAACCATAAAATCAATTTTTATATTCGTACCTGGAAGGATACTGCTCAAAACGTTTCAGGAGTATCGAAAGTAATCCAAATAATACAAATCAGGGGGGGGGGTCTAGTTCGTGTACAGTATCGAAGTACTGCGGACCATCCACAAAGATGCGTTCGTTTCGAACGTCAACTTCTCTAGATGTGGTCTGGGGTTCAGAAAAGTCGCTTCCACCCTCTCTTGATCACCAAAAACCACTAACCCTGCTCCGACAGATAGTGAGCGTATCCCGCCGCGTGCTTTCTGATATTTCCACAGCAGTTTGACATTTGTAGTGTATGTTCACTTCAAGACAACCCAATCTGCTGTGCTGCGGTGCATGCATGTAGACCTGCGTTTCGGAGCTTTCCAGCATAGCGCAACAATATTGAACTTTGATCTCAACATGCTTATCTTCTGACGGATCAAATCGCTCAAAACCTTTTGTAAAAGATGTCAACAGTACCTGAGTGCATGATGTTGGCGACATTTCGTTGCAACACGATAGACTCGGGGAGAGACGCAGCGCATCCGACCCTTACTCGGAGATTTCCGAGTTGTCCTACGGTGGTACGCCCTGAGAAAAAACTGGAAATCTACCCCTACGGACTAGCCCCGACTGTAAAACAAAGACTGCACGGTTGACAGATAGCTACCTCACCTATCTCAGCCGGAATATCGACGCTCCCAGCCCTGCTGCACCCTATGAAGCCGGCCGTGCGAGGCGAGGTTTTGAGTTGTTGCGCCGCAAGAAATCGAGGGGTTTCAGCAGGGAATGGCTTCCCGCCCAAGGCGTTATGTCTCACACTTTTTTTTTTATCAGACGTGCAGCACTGACTCTGAATGCGAGCCCTGTCCTGACACAACCAAGCGTTGTAAAACGTGCCGTCGCTTTCCGGCAGGGAAAGCACCCAAGCCGGTCGACGAAGCGCCGAAGTTCGTCCCGTTCGGCGGGGGCGGGGCTAGGCTTGACGGGAAGAAGACGCCGGCCAAAGGACCCGAGGAGGAGAAAGGCGACAAGGCTGCGGGCGACGGTGCTCGTCGACCATGTGCGTGTCAGTCAGAATAGCTTTTGGTTGCGTCGGCGTTTAGGTTGGTTTCACTTAGTGGTAAGTGGGGGCGATATAAAGGCGACGGAAACCATCGCGTAGCCGATGAGAGCGGTGCACCTAAAGGAAATAGAATACGCGATTGTCTTCTGACACTAGGCTGTTCCGGCTCGCCCCCCCGCTCGAATCTAATGTTCACGTCTGCACCTGTATTATGTGTGTGCGTTTGTGTCGTTTGTTTCAGCGGCAGCTGCAGCGGCTGCGGAAGCCAGAGCAGCGGCGGCAGCAGCCAGCGGCGGAGGTGGAGCTGGGGCTGCACCAGCCAGACCACCTGTGGGTCTAAGGGCACCCGCAGGGAAATGGTCTAAGTCGAAGAAGCTACAGGCTGGTGCCTTCCAGGGATCCGGGAACAAACTCGCCTAGATGTTCATTTTTCCGCGTACCCCGCAAGAAGCCGGGGGGGGGTCTAGCTGTGTGCCCCATTTTTGGTCACGGTCGATGAGAAACTGAGGGGGTTCTGCGTCGCTTGGTTGTGTCGGGCGCACCCCAGGAATGGAACGGGAGGGGGGGGCGCCCTTACCACTGGCGACGAAAGAACACCCTCTGTTGGTGTATTTGTTGTTACCGGGTACCGCGACGGTTCGTGCAAGGAGGAGGCACGGGTGGCAATCGGCGCATCCGTCTCTCTCTCTGTGGCGTGTTACCTCGGCGTGAACTCTCCCACTTCATTCGACTCTGCGGCGTGAGCCCGTCGCCCTGTCGCCTAGCCGAGCCGGCTGTCGATATGTTTAATCCCGAGTCTTTTTTCTGAGGTGCTCCCCAGACGGCACGCTGCAGGTGTGCAGTAACCTCGATGACAATTGTTTGTGATTTGTTGTTTCAATGTTGATGTGCAAAACCGAAAAAAGTGATGCACCGCCATATGACCCAGCGGCACGAAGTGTCGATTGCTTTCCGACTCTTGACGCTCTCGATATGCATCCACGTCTGTCCTCTGCCAGCGCATCGTTCGCCACGTTTTTGCATTGTTTTTGCTTCGTCCTGGTTTCGGTGGTCGGGTGGGCGTGTTTTCGTGTATCATTGGTGAAGGCTTACCGCAAAACTTCATGATTATCTGTTGCAGCACAATTTTTGAGGCCCCTGCCCTGCGCCATTCGTGTGTTTATTAGTTGCAGGGGAAACGGGCCAAGTTGCTTGTGGGCCTTTGTGTTTTACATGCCACGGCTTTTGAGGAATCATTTTTTTGCACCAGGCTTGCGCCTTGTTTACTTGGTGGATGATGACCCCAAGGGTAGGCCAACAGCGGCTACAATGGTTTTGATCTAGGAGAACGCGCTGTACCACTTCAGCACCAGACCCTGCATATTCTCGAACATGAAGGAATGCAGTCGCGAGGGTTGCCCTATGAACAGGAGGACACGTATGAGTTGTCGTTATGTACCTTGTTTCACGCGTCATCCAATTCATCTCATTTTTTGCCCTGAATCTCTTTTGTCCCAGGGTACCCCGATGAGTAGTGCTCCTACAGTAGATGCGTCCTGCCCTGTGCACGGCTGCTACAGTAAATGCGTCGCTGCCCCCGTTTGTTGGATCTTTTTGCAATCTTTCGTTATCCCTTTTGTTTCGGACGTGGGTCTTTGACACCTTGCCGTACAGTATTGATGGACTCCCCAGCACACACAGCTAGTCACACAGGAGGACGCGACGATATATGAGATTTTTATTTTTTTGCGTCTTCGTTCAACTTCGTTCAGTCTACACCACTAGTCTACGCCGCAACTACTGCTGTTATCGAGGGAGGTATACATGTCCTACAGCAGTAGACTAGTCTACATACCGCCTCACATTTTCGCGTCCTGCATGCCACTTCGCGTATGCGTATGCATACGTCCATGTTATCCATAAAAACCGCAGATATTGTTCCTGACACACGAAAACGGTGCCGCTGAGTTCACACAATCTACGATCCCTTCCCGCAATCTTCGGGAATCATGCCAACAGCGGACGCCAAGATGCTGCTTGAGGCGTACAGTGATTTTGCGTCAACATCAACCAAAGGTTGTCTACCGCCGTACCGTCCAGGATGGAAAAGAGCCCGAACACGAACCCAACAGCTCTGTCGCTGTCTCCCCCTCCCTTCCCGCTTGTTGTTCATGCCTGTGGCGGACCATCGTCCTGTCATGACCTCCTTGCCTATGGCTGGTGGTTCACGTTCCCGAACGTGGAACATCTATCTTCGTTCCGTAACGCGTTTACAATAGCAACGACTTATCCTGTTATTCGTTGAGATAGCATGCTAGATTGCAAGGTACAGCAGCAGCATCTGTTCTGTACAATTTGAAGGTAACCTCGCCAGCGGGATGGATCTTTGGAAACAACTGCGCTATCTTGTGGTTCTGGTGGTCGAAATCAATCGAAACTTGTAAGTGTATGTGTGGGCTCCTGTGCCGCCAATGGTTTTGTTCCGACATCTCTCCCACGTGCCATCAGGCCACATATATATCTGGTCCGGGATTGATTCCCACGAAATCTTGATCGAAAGGTTCGCACGGGGCAGGTCTGGCGGTTCGGCCAATGTCGTGGCGACGAGGACATCGCCAGCGGTCTGGATTTTGGTCGGTATCTAAATGCGCGGGTTTGGCCAATCACAGGACGTGGCAGCCCGTGGGAACATTCTCATGGCCAATAAGCGTGCTCGGCAGCCTGGTTTGAAATTTGAACTGTACTTCCCAGGGCGAGGGCTGCAGTCGGGCTTCGTGACGAGGCCCACCCCACCCAGGTCATTCTCTACCACAACACCGTTCCTACACAAAGAAGACATCCACGCGCCATCCACCACACCCTACACCAAGCAGAAGACACCCACGCGCATCCACCACAGCCAACCAAGATGGTCTCCAACAGCGGAGCCCTGGGTTTCCCTAGGATGGGACCGAACCGCGAGATGAAGTTCGCGTTGGAGAAGCACTGGAGGGGGAAGATGGACGAGGCCAGCATGCTCGCTATCGCCCGCGATGTCGAGCAGCAGGCCTGGGGCATTCAGATGGATGCCGGGGTGGGACTCATCTCGGCCGGGGACCACTGCCTGTACGACAACATGCTGGCTTGGTGAGAGAGGATGACTACTGCTTACATGTAATTGTAACGTGAACTACTGCAGTCGGGTAGCCTGCCGTCCACTTGCGAATCTTTTGGAACATGCGGATACCGCTCGTGCATGAACACCGCTCGTGTATGAATCCTGCTGTGTCCGTCTGTTTCTACGAGATACGACAGGCTTATCCTTACCTTTGATGGCAGTGCGCACATCAGGAGAAAAAATTATTTCAACAGGACACAAGAGTCGTGCCCCTCAAAAGCGCGAGGATGCTCTGGGCCCATCCACCGCACTACCGCGGGCGCCCGCGGGCGCCGGCTTACCGTGCAATCAAAACATACTAAACGGCTTGGATGTTTCCTGTCTGTGTCAAAGAGGTGCCATTCACCCAGGCCACCGTCCTATCTTTACAACCCGTTCATGTAGGACTGCATAGAATTTTTGAGGTGGGCCGTCGCCATTTCACAGGCGGTTGGGTGTTGGGTGTATTGGAGGGTACAGTAGTAGCCTATGTACCGTAAGACTAAAGAGTATCACCGCGTTCTGTTGACTGGTGCGGGCCGTCCAAAACAGATTTTTGAGAAATCAGATAAAATGAGCAATAGACGGTTTCGGAAGTATTCTTGGCAAAATTTCAATTTCACTTGAGACCAGTCCCGTGTTGTCCGAAGCTTTGCTTTTAACGATGTGATGTCACGATGTCACAACGAGGGAATTTGATCAGCACGGCCCGCGACCAAGTCACCATATCTCCCAGGCAGATGCTTGCCTTCGGGCGAAACCTTCGACGCTGTGTACTCTACAGCTCTATGGTACCTTGCGACCAACCGAGATGGGTCTGAGTGGAGCGCTGTGAGCGTCTTGTGCGAGAGGATGCGACGATTTTGAGCTGCAATGAATAGAACATATGCACGCACCCAGACACGGTTTGCGCCCGCAGCAACGAACAAACGCAGCACGCCCAAATGCTCGTCGCTCTCTCGCAACGCATCTCGCCAATCTTCATGCCAGAGCCAACAAAGCACAAGGCAGCAATATGCCCTAGGATTTGTTGTGGATCATGCTGCATTTCATCGTGTTGTGTACTAGAGCAGTACGTGTCCAGCCGCTGCTGCTGTGGGCAGGTGTGTTTTATGTTTTATTATTAGCATCGACCGCGCTAACCGGCTGACCAATGAAAAGACGTCAGTGCCAGCGGGTAAAAATCAAGGGCCCTGGAAGGCGGCCAAAATTCGAACAATGCGCAATGCGCTGAATGCGAATGCCAATCCCACTCTCTCTACAAATTCTTTCACGTCGACACACATCTCAGCTACACAAATGCCCTCGCTCGAACGAACCCAGGGAGCCACTGATGCAAAGAGCGGAGGACAGCAAAAGGGTCAATTCAAACTCAGCCGAAGCCAGGATATCGTGGTATGCTGCATCTCCCAATCAATTTGAAAACCGTACACTCCCAAGGCCCAACAGCCATCGTGTCAGCAGCTAGATGAATCAAACAAAATAGCAACACATACACTGCCATAGCTCCACGCATGCCCTCGCCCGAACCTAGGAAGCCACTGATGCAAAGAGCGGAGTACAGCAAAAGGGTTATTTCAAGCCCAGCCGAAGCCAGGATATCGTGGTATGCTGCATCTCCCAATTTGATAATCGTACACTCCCAAGATCCAACAGTCATCGTGTCAGCAGCTAGATTACTCAAACAAAATAGCAACACATACACGGCCATAGCTCCACACATGCCCTCGTCCGAACCTAGGAAGCCACTGATGCAAAGAGCGGAGGACTCAAAAGGGTTAATTCAAGCCCAGCCGAAGCCACGATATCGTGGTATGCTGCATCTCCCACTTTGATAATCGTGCACTCCCAAGATCCAACAGCCATCGTGTCCGCAGCTAGATGACTCAAACAAAATAGCTGCACTGCCATAGCTCCACACATGCCCTCACCCGAACCTAGGAAGCCACCAGGAAGTCACTAGGGCGCCAAGTCCTGTTTGCGGCCTACGTTACTTATTTATCGCGTGAGACTGTTTTGGTGATGTATTAACTTCACGAGAGAGAGGTAGACGACCGTCCTTCATACGGACGAAGGAGGGAGTGCTCGAAGAGCCCCTCCCTCACAGCAAGGAGGGGCCCCGTGAATCATCGCGGTGCCCCCTATCAAACGGCAATTTTACCAGTCTGTGTGACACCAAATCATCCGGCACATGTATCCAACACCTATGTTCGCAGACCCACGAACAAGTCCTGCTGGCAGGTTCTCTTGACTTTCCTTCAGGTGAACACGTCCAGGAATCCAGTATCCGCAGCCGCCCCAGTAGTACTGTGTAGTAGCAGCAGTAAATCCAGGTTGAACCCACCCGTTCTCCAAACAAAGATTTGTGATTCCGTGAGAGAAGGAGATAACACCGCCGTCGAAGGGTCGAAGGCACTGTCTGCCAGATGTAGGCTGTGTGATAGATGGTGCTACCTATGTGTGCTTAGTCTGCCCGCCCGTGAGGGTCGTGACGAGGCCGCTTGTGTGTGTGTGTGTGTGTGATCGAAAAAATATGAGCGAGCTGTGGCCCGACATCAATTTGTGGTTGCAGGTGGCAAGGAAGTAGGAACAAGGGGTGGGAGTTTCGGGGGTCTGGGGGAACATGGGCTTGAGTGGGGGGTGCCTCAGAAAGAGCAAGACGGCGGATGTTTCTCTCTTGGTGTGACCGGTGGCAGTATCGATCAGCAATGCCGCACAGACTTTTGCGCGCCCGAATATGCGTGCGACAGCATTAACCTAACCACTTCTTTCGGTGGAAAGCGGATTTCTGTTCGATACGGTGTCAGGGGTACCAGGGAAGACGGGGCCGAGTTTTGTTTGATTTCGGGTGGATGAGGTTGGGGTTTTGTTCGTTTTTCTCCATCTAAGGTTCGTGCCTAGAGTTCAGCTGTAGTGTTTCAACCAAAGTTTTGGTTGACTTAGAGGCAAACATTCCTAGCTATTGGGCATCGAGATTATTTGGCTTGGCATGACGGCCTTTACGATCGACTATTTATGTATGTCTGCATTTATCTGCAATTGTCGGAGGGCAAACAAAATAATAATATTTGACACGTCTACACCTTCGTCAGCGCCGAATCATGAGTCCTCCCACCGCTGGCAGTAAGCTCTACGACCGACCGCGGGCATGCGTTGGTGGGGTGAGGTGTGCAACAGCACCCATCCTGGCGTGGTGTTGACCAAAGCAGCTAAAAGCTAAACGATGAAAAAACTTGAAAAAGTTCAGCATTAACAGACGCCAGCTGCCCTTCGTGCTAAAAAAGTCTGTCTAGGGTCGAAAGCTCATTTTTATGGCGGCCATAAACTGGCTCTTTCCCCTAAAAAGTGAAAGTGAAGTTTTCAAAACGTACATCCGAAACTCGCCAATGACAACGGATTCTTACTGCACTATGTACATCGATCGATCGGTGTACAACCTGCTGCACCCGCGCACGCTACTCTCGCTTTGGCAAGGCCAACGGACAGCCCAGCCACGCTAACGAGTGTGCCGGCGCCGTACCCAAAGCTCGGCTACATGTACTGTTGAATGACCCATGCAAGATCTCCTCCGCTCTCCGAACTAAGGCAAAAATCCCAATGACGTCTTTTGACGACATGGCAGGACCGAATTTCTTGGCGCCGTGCCGAAGCGCCATGCTCACCTCCCCCCCGGCAACGAGCGCATGTTCGCCATGGCGAGGGGCATCGACAACGCCCCCGCCCTCGACATGACCAAGTTTTTCGACACGAACTACCACTACGAAGTTCCCGAGCTCGAGACTCCCGTCGCTCTGCAGCCCAACTTTGCCAGCTACCTGGTACGAAGTGAGGTGTAGCCTAGTCTAGGCAGGCACGAGAGTTGACCAAAGCAGTCAACTTCTTTCCCGACTACGGAAAGGCTGGCACGCCAAAGCTTGATGATAGACGCGCCGCCGGCTGTTTCTGAACAGGCCTGAACACGTTCCACGATGGTTCATTGTGCCCTGGACGCGGCACCTGAACTTTTTCTCTCCCTTTGCTCGCCTCGGTGAAACCGTTCACAGGAGACCATATCCCGCGGAATCGCCAAGGTGGGGGCGAACCGGACCGCGCCGGTCGTGCTAGGCCCCGTGACCTGGGTGCACCTGGCCAGGCATGCCAATGCCGAGGCGTCGGAGGAGGCGACGACCGCGCTCAAGGACCAGTACCTTGACGCCATCCTCCCCGTCTACGCGGTGAGCCCCTGGTAGTTTCTGAAGAATTGATCGCTCTCGGCGCCGTGAGTGTTCATGGCGTTGTTTGGTCGTCGTCGTTGTCGGTAAACCTTCTCGTGACATCTGACTTATGATAGCATAGAGACCTTTCGATATCGAAACCATGCCTGCCTCGGGGTACCTCGTGAAAGGAAACCGTTTCAAGCTACTGTAGTATGGAATGGCGAGGTGGGTTGGTGTACGTTGTCGTCCCGGTAGTCCTCGATGCCCGTCTCTGGAATTTCTATTCATTCCCGTTGTCCCACACACGCCGGAAAAAAACGCGCACGCTCGACAGACCTTGATGGGCAAGCTGGCCGCCATGGGCGTACAAGAGGTTCAGCTGCACGAGCCGGCCCTGGTCATGTGGGATTCTTCCAAGACCCTTGCCGCCATGTTCAAGAAGGCCTACTTCGCCAGCAAGGTCGGTCTATTTTCTTCATTGTTGTTGTTGTTGTTGTTGGTGGTGGTGGTTGGTTATGGGTGTGGTCGCTAGGCGAAGTAACGGGTATGCACCGTATTTGTTCGGTATCGCGGAAGAATGATGTTTTACAATGTTCGAAGCGGGTATGTGCTGTAGTCGGCTACTTGGTTAGCGAGAGCACACAACCTTGCAAGAGATTTCAAGAGTGGCCCAACGGAGACGGATACGCGTGGAATGTTTTATTCTGTGGGGTTTCCCTGGACCCTTTCTGTCGTCTGCCATATCTATATGTGGGCATATCACGACCACAACGTATTCAGGCAGATTATTGAAACCCGACTTCTTTCACAAGCACGCGCCCTTAACCCCTCACACCGCTGACCCCCCATCCCCATTCCCCTGCCAATGCGACCCTTTTTCACCTTGTTGCCACCTCTTCCAGGCGTGCCCGATGCTATCCGCGGATGTGAAGGTGAACCTCGTGACCTTTTTCGAGGACGTCGGCGCGGAAGCATACCAGTGGGTCACCGCCCTCCCCGTCAGCGTCATCAGCCTGGACTTCACCCGCGGGGACTCCCTCAAGCTCGTCAAGGACCACGGCTTTCCCAAGGACAAGGTACATCGTTAGTGCTAGCCATTGAAAACTTTGCGAAACGGTGGTTATTCGTAGCTCGTAAACAAGCGTTCAGAGTGCGAGGGCACGTTGTCTGTTACGTAAGACTCCGATCAAAATATATCAATCAGTAGTTGATTAAACTCTGGGTTAGGCTTGTTTCTTGGAGACTGGGGGTTGTTTCTGGAATAATACTGGAAATAAGCCCATGAGCAACAAAGCTCGTTACGAGAAAAGCGTTGTTCTTCTTTCCTGTTGCTGCGGTAGTCGCTTGATAACCCACGCCTCGATTTCTCCCCAATTTGGCGCGAAAGTGATGCCGCTCATCCTCTACAGTCCCAATCTTTTACTTTCCTCAAAGCATGCACGGGAAACTCCGCGAGTGACTTTTCTGGCCATACCTCCCGTCATCCTTCCCGATACCAAACTCGTTGTTGGAGGTACATCGTCGAGCCATGGGTTCACCCTCGTATGCGAAGGCTTTGCATCTCGCTCTCTCTCCCTCCAGTCCATCTTGCCGCAGTTTTGCGTGAATTCTACGGCCAGGATATTGACAAGAAGAACTGCCCCGCCCATTTTTTGGCTGTGCAACAGGTTCTGGGTGCGGGGATCATCGACGGCCGGTCCCCCTGGGCGATGGAGCCTGCCAAGGTGGTGCCGCTCGTGCGCGAGGTGGCGTCGGCCGTCATGCCAGGCAACCCGAACGGTAAGCATCCAATTGTGTTTTCTAGGGGGTACGTGATCGAGAGACTGATCTAACCAAAATCACCGCAAGCACGATCGCGATCCGGTTATGCGTACGTGACGGGTTAGCTTGCTCGTCTCTCGGCCTGTGATGCTGCGGGTTGGCGTTAACTTTCTCTTCTTCAGGTAGGCAGTGTCGGCGAAAAACGCACTTTTCTGTGCGTGAAAACAGTATTGAGGCTTCAACGAACAGTTTCAATCGTTCATTCCAGTACGAACGCGTTCTTTTTGTCCTGTGAAACACCCTTAATGGTTTCAGATGCCCTATCGACACCTCGCTGTCGCCGTACATGCGTTCGTTGCCACGAAAAGCGTCTCGGTTCTTCGTTCATCGCTCAAACATTACATCCATGCCTCGCTCGTATCGTCCGTTTCGGGGCTCTCCATGATTGCATTCAGGAAACGTCAACATCCGGGTCCAGGCCTCCTGCAACCTGCAGTTCGTTCCCTGGGACGTGACATGCGAGGAAGACCTGGCCGAGAAGGTCGGCGGCGACGTGCTCGCGTTCGCCGTGCAGAAGGTGCAGGAGATCGTCGCCCTGGCGGAAGCCGTTCCGAAAATCACGGCCGGAAAGGAGGTACGAGGCAGAACACGCCCATGCAAAGCGGATGCTGCTGCGGCAGCAGCTGACCTGTGAACGTTTCGAAGTAACGGTCTCTGTTCTAAGATGCTTTGAGGAAAACCTGCACACACAGCAGTAGTTGCTGCTGCTGCCGACCTGTGAACGTTCGGACGAACGGTCTCTTTCCTATGATATTTTCGATGAGGCCGGCGTCGGAGAGGAAGTGCGCTTCTCGCATTAGTTCTTGGTTGCGTTCTATTCACGCACACGGTTGAGCGTCGCTGATGTGTAGTTCGCGCACAGGTTTGGTGATGATAAACCGTCCATTACGGGTGAATTCATCCGTTTCCAGGGTATGAAGACCGACGTGTAAGCCGTGATTGCGTTCGTCCAAGCAAAACATTTACCACACTCTGGCCGAGCGGGCCGATAGGCCTATTCTTGAGAAACGATCTCCACGAATGTAATACCCCGTTGCTCACATTCGTGTTCGATCTGTTCCCCTGAACGCAGGCCAAGGACATTTTCCCCGTACTCGACAAGGCGTGGAAGGCTTTCAGCGTGAGCGTCACCGACAACACCAACACCGCCAAGCGTCTTGCCGGTCTGACCGAGGCGTCGTTCTCCAGGCCTGCACCGTTCAAGGAACGCGTCGCGGCGCAGCAGAAGTCCCTGAAACTCCCCGTCCTGCCCACGACGACGATCGGTTCATTCCCTCAGGCAAGACTTGCCGAATCTTGTCGAAAGATGCGTTTGGGTGTGAAGCATCACATATGAGGAACTCCTCAGGTGTGATCACGGATTGTATCTCCTGTTCGGCAGAAATGCCTCGAGCGCTGAATTTTTGTGAACATAACAGACGAATGACAGATAGATTATACAAGTTGAGATGCCTTTGGCTTGGTCACGACACGAAAAGAGGTACCGCAGTGGCCATGCTTACCAACAACTTTTGCTGCTGTGTCTTTACGCTGAAGCCCCACTGGTGAAAATGACGGTGAGGTTGCTCACCGGTGTTTGTCGTTGACATACATACCCGATTGTGGTTTCTGCCCTCGTGATCTTTACAGACTGCCGCCGTGCGAAAGCTCCGACGCGAGTTCAAGAGCGGCGTCCTCTCCGCCGAGGACTACGAGCGTGCCATTGACCAACAGATCTCGTACGCTATCGGCATCCAGGCGAGTCGTGTTGTCGGTTGTTTGTCACGTTGTGATTGTTGGCGGTGTCCTCCTCGTCCCTACATGGTTGTTGGAGTGAAACTGCTTCTTCGTGCCACAAGATTCCACCAGGAGTTTTCGCAGCCAGCACAAGAGCGCGTATGATCGCGTTATGACCCGATTTGAAACACCACACACATGCGATAACCGCGCAGGAGGCTCTTGGGCTAGACATCCTAGTCCACGGGGAAGCTGAGCGCACGGACATGGTCGAGTTCTTCGGCCAGCAGTTCGAAGGGTTCGCTTTCACCTCCAATGGATGGGTGCAGGTGGGCAGGGACACCCCCAGTGCTAACTCAACGTCGCCCCCCCCCGCAATATCTTGTTAACAAATTCCTCTTCAGCGACGCAATACGAAGACTGACTCATTGCGTGTGCGTACTAATTGGTTTCAAAAGATTTGAAACATTTTTGCACGATCATTTTTTCGACATTGTAGGCGAGGAGCCCCACGTCGAAACACAACTTGCAGCGCTGCCGTGCCTGATTCTCCTGCTAGGGCCATGCTTCTATGGCTGTCATTTCCCTGCAACCGGTTGCTCCCCGTCGCTGGCCTCTTCCAACTCTCAATCGTTTCGTACGCGGCCCATTTCTCAGTTTCTCTCGAGATGAAATAAGCTCCTGGTTTGTTTCAATGGCCATCCCCCTCCGACAGGGATCCCTCACGTAATGCAGTTTTTCAACCTCACGGCACCAAACACAATGATGGCCAAGCCAAAAGAAACAGGGAGAATGCTTCGAGATCAATCTTATCTCACACTTCTTGCCCGCCCTTCACGTTTGATTTGCCAGTCGTACGGTAGCCGCTGCGTCCGCCCTCCCATCATCCACGGGGACGTGTCCCGTCCTACCGCGATGACCACGAGGGAGTTCAAGGTAGCCCAGGAGCTGACCCCCCGTCCGGTGAAAGGGATGCTGACGGGACCTGTCACCATCCTCAACTGGTCCTTCCCTCGCCTCGACGTCTCTCGCAAGGAGCAGGTGCGGGGAGGGAGCTTCAGGTTGATCATATTGAGTGGCTGTTGTGGTCATTGGGTTTGTCTCTGTCGGCACACCCTGAGGAATCAAGAATACAAGCTTATTGTCTTCCCACATGTCCGCGGTCCTCAAGGTCTGGCGAGCTATAGAATATGATCCAGGTGAAATCCAGAAGCATCTCGTTCATTCCGTTGCCCAAATCGGGGATTTGTTGTATTGGAAAGTAATTTGGGCCGTTTGTCCTTGAGTATGCAAAGGGACTGCCCTGTACGTTTTGCCAAGGGTATCTACGGGTGGGTATCGTTTGAGCTGAACATGATAGCAATTGTAGCCCTTGAAAATACCCACGATTCCCCGCGTACCGCCCGACAGGCCTTTCAGATCGCGTTGGCCATTTCTGACGAGGTCGCCGACCTCGAGGCTGCCGGCTGCAAGGTCATTCAGGTCGACGAACCAGCCCTCAGGGAGGGACTGCCTCTCAAGCCCCTCAAGAAAGCCGGTGAGGATCCGGCCTCTTGAATATCCACGGGCTTGAGCTTACACAATGAAGCGCCTGGATTGGGTAGTAACGAGTGCTTGGTATATGTTTTCGGGACTCAAGGAAGAGGTTTGACCCTGAATCGAAAAATATTACTCTGGATCCAAGGTAATAGATTTCACTTGGTACCCCATCCAAACCGAAAAGTTTGTCGATCACCCGTCCTGGCTCATTCTGGAGGAAGCCGTGGTGGAACCGCCAACTCCAAACCGAATGCCGTCACGACCTTCGTTGAGTGACATACCACACGTGCACCGCTTGCATTCCGTGGTTTACCCTGTCTGTGCTTGTTCAATAATTGCGCCAGACTACCTGAAGTGGGCTACGGATTCGTTCCTCCTGGCCACGGCGATCGCCAAGCCAGAGACGTCGATCCACACGCACATGTGCTACTGTGACTTCGGAGACTGCATGGAGGCCATCGACAGGCTCGATGCAGACGTCAACAGCATCGAAAATGGTGCGTCACGGTCAGAGGTGATATATGACTTCCCGCCTATAAGAACCCATTCGTTGGATGAGTGACCGAGGTTCATAATCGTAGAATATTGGGGCGTAGAGGTTCTAGGTTAGCGCATACATGCTTGGCCCTTTCACTTTCTGGAAGCTAACCAGGGAGCACCGAGACCGCCAAACGGTTCCACGGGAAACCCAACAACCAACATCACGCATTTGACTCCACTCTCCTAGCTTGGCGTGCGGCGTGGATGTTTGTTCACTCCTACGAACTTTGCTTTATTCTCTTCCCCACGCCCCCCCCGGTGTTTGCCATCGGGATTGGGTTTTCGTCGCTTGGCAACGACGTTGTAAAACAAGCCAATTCACTTCGTGAACTCGGCAACCAGGT